ACCCTCTTTTTAGGTATGTCCTCTTGAGCTCAATGTGTATTGATACTACTAACTTTACTTTTTGTATCTGTAAATATGTAAACACTATTTACACGTTAATGTTTCTTTTTTGTGATAAATTGTATATGTATACCTTATAAGTTTCTCACCGTTTTCTATCGAATGATTTTTAGGATATTGTGTTGTACAGGTTCATCTGTTCAAATCTTATACATTATTTTGCAGTGTATAGTTTCATAATTATCTTTAATCGTCTCTATCGACTGTACTTTATATTTACGCTCAAAATACAGCTTACAAGAGTGTTTAAAAAATGCGTCTTCGATCAATGGAAATACATTCTACAGGTAAGCTCGAGTAATACGAGCTGCACTTCGCAGATATTTTATGCTGACCCAATTCTAGAAGCCATAGATCATTCTCTACACGTTTGTATCCACAAACTAAGTCCGAACCGGACACCCTTTATTCATATTCAACGCCCGAGACAGCATGAAGGTTTTTGATGAAGCTTCATCAGATCGTCTATTGGGAGATGTTTTTCATTTAAAATTCATATCTCTTATCTCCATCGCTCTGTTTGTCTCTTGGCATTTTAGTAACCGACAGCATCGATTTCAATTATATTAAAGGATCAATACGATGTGAGCTTACAGTAAGTAATCAGTATATCAAATCGTTTTTGTACAAGTACGTTGGACAACTCTGATAAAGAGATCCACAAAATGAAAAAGAGGTGTGTGTTTGGGTCCGACTATGTTTTCAATCTGAAGTCAAAATTGGGGAAAGATAGACCAAAATGAAAGTAACTTAGAATTAAAAAGCTTATTTTTGATGGACTTGCCTCTCTCAGAGGCAAAGGATGGGACGCAAAAATATCAAAACTGCGTAGTGTATGAATTACTTTCTTCTTTGCCGACCGACACCCAACTTTGACTTCAGATTCGTGTTCAGCGTGAAGAAGCTCATAGTAAAACCGTAGTGGGATGCCAAAAACACACCACTATTTTATTTTGTGGACCAAAAAGAGACTGTTGTACGTAAAATTTGAAAGTAGCAGCTCCAACTCCGGTGTCATCTTTAATTCATTCTTCATAGATAGAATAAGTGTATTTGGCTAACCAGGGGTGTGAAAGTCAAATGTACCGCTTGTACTCCCTCGTACTTCCGCGGCATCTAGCGGTCTTGACAGTCACTATTAGACGCATGATCACTAAAATCCCGTTTAAGTATGAAGAACTCTTCTCTGGGGGTTCCGTGGTTAAAGAATTTCAAGAAGACCTTGAAAAATCATAACGCAACACCTTTATACAGTTTACAAAGTATTACTGTTAGTTACTGAATGTATTTCGAACTGTTATTTTAGCTTATTACACCGCTAGTTTTGGACCTTTTCTTACAAGAAACAATATAAAATAGATAATTATAGTTTCACATCTATTTTCCTTAAAAATGATAATTTCTACTGATTTCTCCAACTTTTGCAAAAAAAACATTAATTTCGGACTTCATACGCTAAAGTATAGTTTTACCCAAGTTGATACTTCGATACCACTTCAAACGTGCTTCGAATTTCAGATATTTCTAACTTCTATCTCTTCGACGGTAAGCTACAAGCAAGTTAAAATATGAATCTACCTCCATATATAATTTATTGATTATAAATAAATGATTTCCAGAATAGTAGACAAATTAATATTGCTTCGTCAAAGGATGAAATATTCTAAATTGTATAGAATCAAATCCAAGAACATTGTAAAATATAGTAATGGATAGCAGCGACGGGCAATTAGAAACTGAACAGTTTGACTATTAAGTTCTACAAGATTAGGTTTGTGAAAGACATTTATTTCTAGATGAGGTAGAAATATTGAGAAAAATTGAAAACGCATCCGTTCTTCGCACCAGTGAATTATGCATTTGAATTTTGTGTATATATTTTTCCAATTTCGTGCGGTGCAGCTGAATGTATTTAACAAATAGTAAGTGTTCCCGGACAATAACAGTGGTAAGAGTAACTAATTGCGTATGTAAGAATAATAGAATGATACAAAAAATAGGATTCCAGTACTTTTTCTGTTCAATAAGTAACCAAAACCACGTATGTCTACTGAATGGACTTTACTTTTCGACTGACTGTGTATACCCATTGTTTAATTACTAACCTGCTATTTTCTTCTTGCTGTTTTAACAACAGTCTCAGATCATGCCAATACCCCAAGACTTTTTGTCCAAAAAATATATGTTACTGGGTAGTAGAAGTTCTACATAGGGTGTTCATAATGTATCTCACACACTTTTCACAAATAGTATGTTACCATCTTCTCTACTGCTTGGGAAGTACTCCCTTAATCTATTTTGTTTCAATTTTTATTTTAAGGATATAATTCCCTGGCGATAAAAGCGTTTATCAGCTATCATTTTGCCAAATGAATCAATCGACATTGCCTTCCGGCTGTCTACTCGAATCTCAATCAAATCTGATTTCTAGAATGACTTCGACGACTCGTCGCGTTCAACCCTCAGAAGGGCCCGGCATAAAACAATTTCCAACCGGATGAACCAATCGTCCACCTCGAATCGAAAAGTTCTCGTCCATCGACGGAGTGCGCTTTAAAGGCTTTTATGAATCTCCCACGTGCTCACCAGAGCGGTATTTAGGGACAAATCACGGACAAAAATATATTCAAAGGAAATCTGGCATCTCATCATCCAATCGCCGTCATTGCAGTGCAGGAAGTCACACTTGCAAAAACAAATGGCGTGAAGTAGTGCATCTGAAAACGTCGCCTGATACTTAATCAAGTCAAACGTGGCAGCGCGGTCAGAGCATTATGAAACACTGCTGTGGCGTAGCAGAAAACTGTGTAATACCATACCAGAATAACAAACCACTCACCAATTCCGTCGACACACCGCCGGGAGCAGCATTCTCGGCCGATTTTAAGTTCTAATGTACAGATAAATCTATGATGAGTGAAATATCTCGAATAGGTGCATAAATCATAAAGGTTGGGTGCGCATAAATGTACTAAGACCAAAAAATTGAGATTTTTTTCGAAAATGATCGGGATCCTCTAGAACGACAAGAACGAAGTTTGATCGATTCTTATTCTTTTTCATTTTCGGCCTTTTTTTCCACCGCCACTGGACCAGTTTTCAAAACCTACAAAGCTTTTGCGTGCTTGGCATAGTAGTAACATTGTGTAAAAATTTGTTCGAAATCCGAGAGGTACTTCTAAGGTTATGAGCGGTTATAAAATTGGCTGCCAGGCCGACAAACAGACAGACCGACCGACGTAAATGAGTGACATGGTTTTTGTGATGTGCATATAACATCCAAAAAACATAATACTTCATTTTCGAAAAATGTCGCTATTACAATAACGAGGAATGATTAAAAGCTTTTTCACTACTAACTTCAGTCGGCATATTTACCGCATTCCTCTAATAAAAAGTGACATTTCTGCCCCTAGGTAAATGATAACAAAACTTAGGTACAAAATAAATGTGTACATCCATCACTGGCGTAGCTTGCTCCTCGGGGGTTCCATATCAAAATTTGTAGGGAGGCCCCATCCAACTGTGGCGAATCAGTCCCAAATCGAAGCAGTGGGAATGCGCAAAATTTTAGAAATTCAGATAAACGTTTTTTGTTTTGAGACGTCTACAACACGTACATCTATGTGGAGTCATAGTCAAATTTGAAAATCGTTAAAAAATTAAAATAGTTCAGATTGTCACAAAGTTTGTTATTGTATCCGTTACAACTTTCTGAACATATTTGAGGGTGGTGTGGAGAGGTTCCAATTTTTAAAAAAATCGAAAATTTGCTTTAATGGTTTCTGATTGAGGTTAGGGCATGTTCACACGTTAAGGAAAAGTTGCATCATAGAAGTCCTAAAATGTTTCAGTTACTTTGAATTTCGAAAAGCTTTTTTCAGCAGTTGCAGTTCTAATCTAAAGGTTAAAAATAGGAAGCATATTACTATCACCTGGCCGTATAATCTATGGTTTGACCGGTAGTTACCTCCTAGCATTCATGTCGCCATTGACTTGTTGGGCACACAACTTTAACTGCTATTAAACCTTTCCATGTTTAACTATTACTAGTAATGATTGTTTATTACTAGAAAATACAAAGTCTGCTTTACGAAATCATTATCGTTGTTGATTGTATGTGCCCACATCATGAAGAGTAGAAATGGAATGTTAGACTCATAGAGTGGGGGTGTAGCCAGAAGTGTCGACTATAAGGTCAGTTAGTACACTGCGCAGAAAATGAATTTCAGCTTCTGCGCATGAGAGAACTCTCTCTTGCTGACGTTATGACCGTAAACAACATCAATTTTGACAGTTCAGACGGGTTGAAAGCAGAAATATTGGATAATATTAATAAACCACGAAGTAATAAACCTATAGTATCGCAAAACGTGAATGAGAATTAACTTTTTCCTTTGTAATTACTTATATTTTGATTTAAAGGTGGATAAACTAGAAAATAACCCAATATGGCAAGTAAGCAAGTTGTCTGTCAATTTAGGAGGTTCATCAAAGTTACAAAACGCGATCGGAAATTATAGAATCACTTAATAACAACGTTTTTCGTTAGAAACAATTTCAAGCGTACGGATGTATGTAATATACAGGTACTATTATGAATCATAAACTTATCAACACCAGAATACTTATGGACTTATGGACGAAAAATTTAACTCCCACTTTATTATGGTGATCATCGCCCAGCAGGGTATCACACTTATAAATAAAAATATCCATACATACCTCATTGGAGAAGGTAATTATTATTAATGATCTCGCACAGTACGAGCAATAATGGCTTACTTCTCAACCATGGTATGTACAATTGTCCACTACCTTCATACCCTTTCACTCAATAATAGCAAAACAGTCTTTATAAATTCCTAACCCACATACTGAAAAGGGTTCTTGGATCGTATTTCTTTGAACTGGTATTCCCATTTGAGTGAAGTACATACCAAGGATATCTGGTACAAATATATAGAGCCTCGAAGTGGAGTGTATGGCGAAAAAATCCAATTGAAAACTGCAAGAATCCTTTTTGTTTTTGACAATGCAGTTGCTTCGTTCCATGACCTGTAATATCGATCAGGATCATAATTAAAAAAAAAATAAATAGCCCGACCGCTATAAAAAATCTTATTGATAAAATTTTGAATCAGTGTATTATTCCCCGGATTGTTCTACAATATTAGTATTTTTTTGTTGCAGACGATAAACCTCAATCAAATTATGAAGCAATCAAGTCCGCTCAAGAATCAAGAGAAGAAAGCAACAATAATGAAAAGATTGATCAGAGCCAACAGACCACACCTACCTCTCCCAATAGCACAGGTAATCCACCCAGCGCCTACAAACTTCACTGAGATTTGTTTATCGATTATGTCCGAAATAGTCATTTGAAAACATTCAAGCACTTATCTCAAACAAACAATATCATGATAAAACTTCTAGGATCTTGAAGACATTTTTATGCGTTGGCTATGATGATGTTTCCTAGCTACACGCTTGTGACGTATATTTCACCTAACAGTGTTTAATACATTGTAATCATGCACTGTTATTTTGAAATAAAGATTTATTATTATTATTATTACACATGCTCATAGGACTCCATTGTCTGGCCGAATCAAATCACATAAATATGTACATATATGTTTAAGTGCCTGTTTATTGTCCGAGGCTACAGTGGGAAATATGGCCGATAGATGTAGACAAACTTATTATTTTTGCCGACCTTACAGGAATTGTAATACGGATCACTAATATATCATACAAAGGGATTAGTCTACTCATATTAGACGAAAATATCCCTGGTTTGCGAAATAAAAGTAAAGTCTTGTTTTAGTAATGTAAGTTGTGCAACGGGGTATTTAAAATATAGACACATAAAATGGGGACACCAATCTTTCTGGGAAAATTTTTATTCGACCACAAAGAATGATAAAACACGTTTTTTGGGATTCAGTAGAAAGTGTTGGCTAGAACGAAAAAATTCTTCAAATAAGATTTCAGGTATTTATGGGACCTGAAGAATGAGAACACACGTAAAAATATATCACTAATAGTAACAAAATTATGGCCGAAAACCGAGGCAAAATCCAGGCGTTGGCACTTGTTGCTAATTCGACGATAATTTCACACAGCTACTTCAAATTCTTTAATTCTCTAGGCTTCATACTTCTAAATAACCGCAAGAAAATTGGAGTCAATTGGTCGAGTAGTTTTTGCGAATTTCTAATAATTGCTTATCCCAAAACACCTATCTTCCGGCCATCACTACTAGTTTTACTGAGCTCTATCGGGTTCGTTTGAAGAGCATTTTATAGCAAAATATACGAATTTACCTTGCCGAAAGATAATTGTTATTTTTATGCAAAAAACGAAGGGTTGCGTTTTTTCCTTCTAAACAAATTCAAACATTGCGTATATGTGAGTAACTGAATAGATTCGCTAAAATATTCAAAAATCATACGTTATTATACACATTTTAAAACAAAGCGGATGTGTGTATCACCTTTTATTACGAAGAAAACAATTTTTTTCAAGATTTCTCTATACTCTTGTGTATACATACTAAAAGCCCAAATTTTTACACGGTCACAGATGAGCCTTAAAGTTTAAAAAAAAAATATTCTATACTGAAATGCGCGAAACTGTGCAAACTGAAGACACAATTGTGTTTCAAACTGTCTTAGACCTTGTCAAATAAGTATCTCACGTAATCCACTTTCTTTACGAAGAAATATAATTCCCTAGACTTTTTTTCTAAATGTATTAATATAGTACACGTCTGTTTTCGAAATCTCGTTTGATTAAAACGGCTGCGCGTTCAAAACGTTGGACGATAAACTCCAAAAAACGAAGAAACAGTAGACAAATATCAACCAATTGTAGCGAGCTGACCGTCTTAAAAATTGAGCAAAATACATTATTTCAATATTCGGCATTTTATCTTGTATAGTTTTAAAGAGTACTGTAATTGTTTATAATATATTTGATATGCGTCTTACATTCGCTTGACATTTGTCAGTGACAAGTATAGTGGTAGAAGGATCCAGTAAACCAAGAGGCGTCGTAGCGTAATGGGAAGGGGCGACGATTGCAGAACCGCAGGATGGAGGTTCGAATTCACGAAGCTCTTTTTTCTCTATTATTTTTTACTATTAGTAGGATCGTTTTGTAGGTCTCATAAATACCTAAAAATCTTATATGAAGATTTTTTTCGTTCCTACCAACACTTTCAATTGAATCCCAAAAAACACGTTTTCTCATTCTTTGTTGTCAAATAAAAAGTTTTCCCACAAAAATTGCTGTACCCATTTTATGCGTCCGTGTTTTAAATACCCCCTTGAACAACTTGGATCAATAAAACGCGACTCTATAATTAGTTCGGGGAAATCTGCTAATATGATTAGGTCGTGAATGGAGCCTTAAAAATACAATTTTCATCGCATTTACTGAAATATCTTCTTCCAAAATAATTCCGTATATAAAGTTTGTACAGTTGATAGCAGTGCATCAAATGTCTCTGCTTTTCAGAATGACTAAAATTAGGACTTCTAGACAATTTTAAAGTTTATGATATTAAACCCATTAATGGTGGATCGGTATTAAGCAAGCAACCAGAAGTTAACAATCTTTTTTATTTAAGTGATTATTATATTTTTACTTGCAATGTGACATTGGTTGGACTCTCTCTCTCTCTCTGATCGCCGATCAGAAGATTGGAGTTCTATCTTGGTTTGCGCAATGAGATCCAAAGAGGAACAGTACTCATTAACGTCACAACTCCAACTCAATTTGTCCTCCGAGAATGCGAGAACCCACACAGAACTGTTATGTCGCTTAATTGTTATGCAATTTTAAAGTAAAATAAATTTGGTTTGATTACCCACATGCTCATGTGCTCCTATGAACGAGTCGCCGCTGCCAAAAGGGAGTATACGAAGCTGAACTTAAATGTCAACTAAGCTTCAACATTCAAGGTCGTTCAAAGATCAAATCGTATTATTTCCACGCCAGTACTTACTTTTCACATTTTTTCCGATTACAAAGGGATTGGCTGATTCAGTGTGTGGTTCATGGGTCAGTTACTGAATCAATATTCCATTATTTTTATAATATAGTCTATTTTCATTCCGGATAAAATGGTATTTTTACTTCCTTAAAAAAGATTGAAAACGCTATTACGTTATTATATTTGTTGTGTGCTAGGCACCCGTTCGTCAATTGAGACGCTAGAACCTCAATTGTTGGCGAAAAATAGATAGGAGAGACAAGTGGATTGACGTAAAACACCTCTTACGAGCAGTTGAAAAGGAAGAAAGAAAACGACAACCGGTCAAGGCGCAGGGTCTTTATTCCTCTGTACGTTCCTCCGGTGAGTTTGGAGGTTCAAGAGCGACCTACTGGAGTATAGCGGACAGCTAGACAGCGAGCATTATGAACAGGCTCTAGAGAACTCCTTAAGCGTTAATTGACAAATGACTTTATTCGATGGATATTTGTCGCAAAACATAATAGCGTCGGCAATGTCAAGAATACATACCTCTTCAACAGACGCACTTTGCTCTTCCCCCTTCCTTTCTTTCTTGACTGGTATCTATGCAACCAGACCTGCTAACCAAGAGCAAAGGTTCCACGGACCGCTCTGACGAACAATGACGGAAAGAATTCGAGAGGACATGCCTTGACATGTTATGACAGGTTATTTATAGCGTACGAAATGTAAAAAATAGGAAACTTATCGCTTTGCCAAAATACAAGAAAAATAGAATGGATATAAAGAGATAAGGGCATGTGACCCTAGCAGTATTACTGTCTTACTATAGATTAAAATCCGTATTTAACGATTTCTTAAAGTTACTAGAAAACTATATTTTATCTGTTTTTATAGATGGCCAAAATTACTCCTTAGATTCAATGGAAGAAGAGAGAAGTGACCCGCTGCGTGCATTACCAAACATGGGCTCACCAGTGTCGGGAATTCTCAAAGGAGGAAGATTATGGAGACAGCAAAGCTCTGATGATGGAACTAAATCAAACGAATATTCAGTAAGCATTCAATATTATAAGATCGATGGTTATATATCATGAAGGTAGCTCATTAGTTAAAACTGAAAAGAAAGATCTGTGACTGTACCCGTTGAATTTTAAGGTACCTGTCCGCAAACGAACTTTGGCGATCTTTTAGCTATCAAAGTGACTGGATCATGGAAGGTCATGCTGTTTGTAAGGCCAATTATTAGAAAGTCATAATTATTACCATTCGATGACGAATTGATTCTAGTCACACTAAAGCTGATCTAGAACACAAACGCGGCAACCAGGCGCTTACGTCACTATTTTGTCAATGAGGTCCCTCCATTTGTTGACATCGGTCGTCGACGTTGAAATAATAATACGCGGTCACAGCAAAATGCAATTCACTAGTATTTTCTCTTAATTGTCTTAATCTGAATTGATGTACAGGGTGTTCGAAAGGTCGATACCATGTTTGAAGGCGGTGATGGTTCACCACATTTGAGTTACATTCAGCCACATATGCCTTAGTACAAAGTTGAACTGTTTTTGAGTTACACAGAATTTTGTGATATGCTTGAAAACCGCCATAATCATGCGATAAGCAATCGCTTGTTCAATAATGAATGTTTTCCTCTCTTATTTTTATCCTTTACCTTGATGTATAGTCTATACAAATAATTACCAAAGTTATTGGATGATCACGTATAGGCTATAGAAATAATGTTGGTTCACTGAATAGTTCGATTTTCAACTGCTTCGTAACTTTTCGAACGAATTTATGGGAAAATTTGGCAACAACGTAATTTAAAATCAATGCACCATGGTCTATTCAATAACCTAAAATGTTAGATCAAGCAGAATGCAACTGAAATTACAAAAAAAGACAAAATCCACTTCTGTGAAACAAAGCACTTGACAGTGACAACATTATTCATTCAATGTACAAAACAACGCAATTGGTTATTTCTTATGCATTTTGGTTCCGTTGTTTCGTATACCTGTACCAGTAGTCACTTTGCCAGGAGTGATTCGGTTTCAAAGTATCGTGTAGCTTTTCCGAAGTCTCGCTAGGAAGATATGGCAACGGCGCAAATTCAAAATATTGCAACATGAAATTTAATGAACAGAAATATAGTTCACATTTTCTAAATCATCACAAAACTTCAGGGCAAACAACGCACCCCAGAAGTACAAAACCGTTATAAATAAGGTTGAAAATAAATTACTTATTTGCTTATTCTTATTATGTGTACCATTATTTCTAATTCCTTTTTAAGCCCTCCCTGCCTGATGAATTTTGTAGTAGTGGGTTATAAGGATAAATAATTCATAAATTTTGCAAGTATTAGAGAAATGAACATGAGGTCTAGGACCTCTATTACACCTTACTACATAACGATATACAGGGTGTTAAGGAAATAATATTCGTAACTTTAAGAGGTGATTCCTTACGAGGAAAGTGGGTCGTAAATAATTAAATTTTCTCAAACGTTTGGCAA